ATGTCATCCACAACAGTGAGCTCTGCTCTGCACATCCAGTAATCCTGTATTTTCCTTGGACAGTTGTTTTTCTGTGCAGGCCATCCTATCAGTATTGTTTTTTCAACTCTGTCATTGTTTGGCCAGCTGCGGTCTCTCTTTTGATCTGCGCAATTCTCTCAGAAGACACAGGAAGTGATGCTACGATCAAATCGATGTAGGCCTGAATCTCAGTGTTTTTCTGTGTGTCGGTGCTCTCTTTCTTGTCGACTGCTCGAGAAAGAGTGTCGGCGGCGAACATGAACTTTCCCGGGGTGTAGACCATCTTCACATTATACTTTTGCAGTCTGATCGACATTCTCATTGGACAATCATTCAGTGGCTTAGACATGATTGACACCAATGGTTTGTGGTCGGTTTCTACTTCGAAGGCTTGTCCGTAGACGTATTGGTGAAACCTTTCGCACGCGTATGTGCTTCCCAGTAGTTCTTTCTCTATTTGTGCATACCTTGTTTCTGCGACTGTCAAGGCTCTGGACGCATAAGCAATGGGTTGCCATGTGTCGTCATGCTGTTGCAGAAGAACTGCTCCCAGGCCAAACTGTGACGCATCTGCAGAAATCCTTGCGCTTTTCTCTGGATCATAGAACCTGAGCACTGGCTCTTCCGTGATTGTCTTCTTTAGGTTTTTGAAGCAGTTTTCCTGCTCATGGGACCGTTCCCATTCGTTTTTTCTGTTCCAGAAGACATCTGAGTGGAGCAGACTGTGCTGACAGTTGAGCTATGAACTTTGCAAGGTAGGTGATCATGCCCATGTTGTTGATGGCTGATGTTTTCCTCGGGTCTGGTTTGACTCCATCCTCTGAAAGTACGCCTCCCACGAAAGTACAGTGAGGGAAAAAAGTATTTGATCCCCTGCTGATTTTGTATGTTTGCCCACTGACAAAGACATGATCAGTCTATAATTTTAATGGTAGGTTTATTTGAACAGTGAGAGACAGAATAACAACAAAGAAATCCAGAAAAACGCATGTCAAAAATGTTATTAATTGATTTGCATTTTAATGAGGGAAATAAGTATTTGACCCCTCTGCAAAACATGACTTAGTACCTTGGTGGCAAAACCCTTGTTGGCAATCACAGAGGTCAGACATTTCTTGTAGTTGGCCACCAGGTTTGCACACATCTCAGGAGGGATTTTGTTCCACTCCTCTTTGCAGATCTTCTCCAAGTCATTAAGGTTTCGAGGCTGACGTTTGGCAACTCAAACCTTCAGCTCCCTCCACAGATTTTCTATGGGATTAAGGTCTGGAGACTGGCTAGGCCACTCCAGGACCTTAATGTGCTTCTTCTTGAGCCACTCCTTTGTTGCCTTGGCCGTGTGTTTTGGGTCATTGTCATGCTGGAATACCCATCCACGACCCATTTTCAATGCCCTGGCTGAGGGAAGGAGGTTCTCACCCAAGATTTGACGGTACATGGCCCCGTCCATCGTCCCTTTGATGCGGTGAAGTTGTCCTGTCCCCTTAGCAGAAAACACCCCCAAAGCATAATGTTTCCACCTCCATCTTTGACGATGTAGGCAGCATTCCTCCTCCTCCAAACATGGCGAGTTGAGTTGATGCCAAAGAACTCAATTTTGGTCTCATCTGACCACAACACTTTCACCCAGTTCTCCTCTGAATCATTCAGATGTTCATTGGCAAACTTCAGACGGCCCTGTATATGTGCTTTCTTGAGCAGGGGGACCTTGAGGGCGCTGCAGGATTTCAGTCCTTCACGGCGTAGTGTGTTACCAATTGTTTTCTTGGTGACTATGGTCCCAGCTGCCTTGAGATCATTGACAAGATCCTCCCGTGTAGTTCTGGGCTGATTCCTCACCGTTCTCATGATCATTGCAACTCCACGAGGTGAGATCTTGCATGGAGACCCAGGCCGAGGGAGATTGACAGTTATTTTGTGTTTCTTCCATTTGCGAATAATCGCACCAACTGTTGTCACCTTCTCACCAAGCTGCTTGGCAATGGTCTTGTAGCCCATTCCAGCCTTGTGTAGGTCTACAATCTAGTCCCTGACATCCTTGGAGAGCTCTTTGGTCTCCCTTTAAGAGTGTGCTCCTAATCTCAGCTCGTTACCTGTATAAAAGAAACCTGGGAGCCAGAAATCTTTCTGATTGGGAGGGGGTCAAATACTTATTTGCCTCATTAAAATGCAAATCAATTTATAACATTTTTGACATGCGTTTTTCTGGATTTTTTTTTTGTTATTCTGTCTCTCACTGTTCAAATAAACCTACCATTAAAACTATAGACTGATCATTTCTTTGTCAGTGGGCAAACGTACAAAATCAGCAGGGGATCAAATACATTTTTTCCCTCACTGTACGTGTTCTCACACCAAACTCGCATTTGTCCTTGTTTGGTTTCAGGTTGATTTTCCGTGTCAGGTCCAGCACTTGTCTCACTCTTGCATCGTGTTCTTCTTTTGAGGACCACCAGATGATGATGTTGTCCATCATGGTCTCTACTCCTGGAATGTGTCTTGTGGTAGACCTCTGGCGCTGAGAGAATCCCATATGGTAGACTAAGAAATCTGTACCTGCCCTCAGGTATGTTGAATGTGCATAGCCTTGAGCTTGCATCAACTAGCTTAATTTGCCAGAATCCTGATGAGGCATCAAGCTTACTGAACCACTTTGCTCCAGCAAACTGCGACATTATATTTTCTCTGGTTGGCAACTTGAAATGCTCTCGCTTGATAGCTTTGTTGAGATCTCTTGGGTCTAGACATATCCTGAGATCACCGTTCTTTTTCACCACAATAACCAGTGAGCCTACCCAATCCGTAGGTTCATCCATTTTTGTGATGACATCCATCTTTTCCACACGTCCGAGTTCCTCCTTGAGCTTTTTCCTCAGTTCAAATGGAACTTTTCTGCACGCATGCACAACTGGAGTAATTTTGTCATCAGTACATATTTTGTGTTCTCCAGGTAAACATCAGAGACCCTCAAACACATCCTCATACTCAGCCAGTAGCGATTCTTGGTCATTTTCAGTCTGTGATGTCACTACATACACTCTTTTCACCAAATTTAGCTTTTCACATGCACTGATTCCTAGAATAGGCTGTAGACTCTTTTCCACGATCAGCACCTGTGCTTTGAACTGTTTTCCTTTGTGCTGTAAAGTTACTATGCAGCTTCCTTTAACTGGTACGTTCTCCCCAGTATAACCAATAACCTTGATTTTCACAGGCTGTATTTTGCTCTTCACTTTCAGTGTTTTGTAGTCATCCAGCGACAACAGGTTTACCTGAGCTCCAGTATCGAGCTTGAATGGTATTATAGTTTCATTCACAGTCAATGGCACAATCCATTCAGCTTTTACTGCATTGCATATTTCCACAGAATCAACAAAGAATGCTTCAGTCTCCTCTTTGACTGTGTGAAAATTTTTCTTTGTAGCCTCAGCTTTGTAGCATTTTGATAAATGATTATTTTTTCCCACAGTTGTTACACGTTTTGCCATATGCAGGGCAATTTTCTGGCTTGTGCATAACTCCACATTTTCCGGTGTTTTGATTTTTCTCTTTTGCTTGTTTTTGTTTTGTAAAGTGTTGTGTGTGTTGCTCCTCTCTTTTTATTGCACTGACGTCTCATCCCTGCGCAGCTCTTTAGCTTGTGCTCTGGTGGTTTCAGCTGCTCCACACATATTCACTGCTTTATCCAAAGTTAAATCTTGCTCACGCAGCAATCTCTCCTTGAGTCCATTATCAAGTATGCCACAGACTATCCTGTCTTTCACTAGTGAGTCTTTCAGATATTCAAATTCACATGTTTTGCTCAGTGTGTTCAGCTCAGCCAAGTACTGGCCAAAACTGACTCCCTGTTTCTGATCATGAGAGAAAAACGTGTATCTCTCAAACGTGACGTTCTGGCTTGGTACAAAGTACTCCTCAAATTTAGCCATGAGCACAGTCAATGTCAAGTTTGCCTTGTCTAGCTGAAAGCTATTGTAAATGTCCAATGCATCCTCTCCAATAACATGCAGAAAAATAGAAGCTTTCAATTTGTCATCATCTCCCCCTGCTCCACTGGCTGCTAGGTAGATATTGAATCTCTGCTTGAAACGTTTCCAATTGTCAACTAGATTGCCTGTTAACTGCATAGGAGTAGGAGGACTAAGCCTATCCATGACAGGAAACACTCGGGAAACGGGTACAGTTTCAATGTCTCTTACTTCGGTAGGTTGCTCATCAACAGATTCCAATGCAGCCTCGCTCTCGCTGCTGAGGCTCGTTGGCATCACTCTTGCAAGCTAGCATCTTCCACTACTCACGTCACTTGACTTGTGGTAGAATGTTACATTTTCGCGGAGGAAATTTGCAGAGTTACTCCTTTCTTTTCTCTGTCTCGTCATAGCGACTACCAATCTGACACCATGTTATGTTTGTTCCTTTACATAATGACAAACCGGGGCGTAGGTTGAACTACTTTTAATAAACTGATACTTCAGCTAGCAATCTCCTTGTGTAGCCATGCAAGGCATACTTCAACTTCCCCCTCTCGCATAGCCTGCTGGGTAACGTAGTCTTCAGGTTATTAACACATAACAACACACTGGGGGGGACAAACATTTAATTTCAGAATGTGGGGGGGACATGACCCCCGTCCCCAGTGTAAGTTGCGCCCCTGATTTGTATTTATTTTTATACATACATTCTACACCACATGTGTCAAACTCATTCCACGGAGGGCCCAGTGTGTGCGGGTTTTCGCTCCACCCTTGTACTTGATTGATGAATTAAGGTCACTAATTAGTAAGGAACTCCCCTCACCTGGTTGTCTTAATTGAAAGGAAAAACCAAAAACCCGCAGACACTCGGCCCTCTGTGGAATGAGTTTGACACCCCTGTTCTACACCGAAGTGAAGCCCCTCCGAACTAGTGTGGGCTCAGTGTGGTAGGCATTCCTGTACGTTAGATGGCGCTAAACAAACGTTTATTGCTACATTTCCCCGCTCAACGGAAAATGAAGTTTGTCCATGCTCATTTGCCTTACCCAACGAGGTTCAATGACATTTCGGCTTTCATAAGGAGAAATATTGAGCTTTGAATATATATAAAGCTCCAATAATGGCATTAACGTATGTTTTCAGATCAATCAGAACAGAGCTCTCAAAGGTAGGCAAGAAAAGGGTGCGCTGGCATCCAGACCCCAGCATCCTATTTCTGGTTGTGCTTTCTGAAGCTGCTGTCAGCTGTTGATTTGAAGTTAGCTAGCTTCCAGTAGCTAGCCTAGACATTCAAAAGTGGCAAGCTAGCTAACTAGCTAACCACGTATGGGACAAGAATGTTAAAGTATTCAAAATTCTGCAGCTAGCCTTTAAGTGTTGTTGGCAACATCACAGTGAATTGAAATATCTTCCTAGGACCAGAGGTCATCATGGACATTTGATTTGTACCTCCGTTAGCAATGATGCTGACTTCACTGAAATGCAACGTTAGCTAATCTCTTTTCTTGTCCACCCCAGGTCTGCACCGTTCATCATGCACAGTCTTTACACACAGGATATCCACTTCTTGCTGCAGAGAAAGCTCTCCTTATGAAACTACGCAAAAGCACTGGCTACACATTCATTAACTGCAAGAAAGCGTTGGAGAAATTTGAAAATGACATCACAAAGGTAAACATTGCTTCTTTCAGCACAGCTTTGCTTGCTGAGCAGGGCAGGGATGGATGTCCAAACTTGGCCCTGGAGAGGTGCCAAATGTGCAGGATTTTGTTCCAGCCCAACAATAACAAATATGGTGTTAGTACTTTTCAATCTGGTGAGTTAGTGCTGGGTTGGAACAAAAGCATGCCCTGCAGTGCCTGCACACATTGCAGGCATCCTGGATCAGGATTGGGCAACCGCTGACTTAAATGTTGTGTATATTTAGGATAGTGTGTATATGTGTGTGTAATGTTTTTCTCCAACCCAGGCAGAGAGCTGGTTACATGAGCAGGCCCAGAAAGAAGGCTGGAGCAAGGCCAGCAAGCTGGAGGGGAGGAGGGCCAAGGAGGGGCTGATCGGTCTGTTTGTAGGAGACAAAGCTGCAGTCATGGTAGAGGTAAGCAGATCTCATTCAGTCAATGAGATCCTATCACTCATCCTCCTCGATGCAGTCTGCATACAATATTCAAGTTGAATAATACCTGCTATGACAGTCATCTTAATTTGTTTAGTTTGATAAAGGCTTTTGTGTAAAACTTAAATATGGTCAGAAGTATTTGTATCTCAATGTCCTCCATGTCTGTGTGTGTTGCAGGTGAACTGTGAGACAGACTTTGTTGCCCGTAATGAGAAGTTCCAGCAGCTGGTGAAGGATGTGGCGTTCGCCACCATGGCTTACCACAGCAGTAAAAACAAGGGCCAAACTGGATATGTGAAGGTATGACACATCATCACACCACCCCCACTCAGTAGCCACATCACCCTAGGATGCCTGTTGGAATACGTAAAATTGCATTTATCTTTTTTGGTTTCAGAGTCTCCTGGCAGCAGAGGACCTCTCTAAATTGAACTTGGGTGAAGGTGCTTCTCTGGCTGATCAGCTGGCCCTTACCATAGGTGAATGAGTAATAAAAATAGCCCAAACACATTTGTAAATTACATTTACATTTTTGTCATTTAGTAGACTCTCTTATCATTATTGAGATGCTCTCATTGAATTTGAGCTTTAATAACCTCTAACTGCAGCATTTCTTGTTGCTAGGAAGCATTTGGAAATTGAAGACTGCTCTGTTAGTGAAGTAATTTCCTGTCCCGTCCCCTGTCAGGTCGTCTGGGTGAGAACATGTCAGTGAGGCGGGCGGTGACGGTGGGCGTCCCTGCAGGTTGGCACATCGGCTCCTACATCCACGGTGGTGTGGCGGTCCAGTCTGATATGGCCATGGGGCGATACGGTGCCCTCGTGGTGTTCCAGGGGGGCAAGGACGGGGCGCAGGACACCCTGGGGAGGAAGCTGGGGCAGCACGTAGTGGGAGAGGCCCCCGTATCCCTTGGCAACATGGATGACCTGCCCTGTGGGGACGCGGAGACGCGCCTGCTGCCCCAATCTTTCCTCCCTGACCCTAGTAGGACAGTGGCCCAGTACCTGACGGAGCAGGGGGCACGAGTTCTTGACTTTGTTCGCTTTCAGTGTGGGGAGGCGGGCAGTGATGGGGCACAGTGAAGGGTAGAGGAGAGCATCTGATACCTTACAAGTCATGTTTTGTTATCTGCCTTTTATTTGTTTCTGAATTAGGCCAGAGTGCAGACAGTCAAGTCGATGTCATGCAAATGCATTCAACCAATTTCAATGTTTTCATGCCGTATGTGATAAGTCTAATATATGTGTACCAAAATGACATATGCTGCAGGATGAATGAACTGAATCCCCCCAACAATAAAGATATTTTAAACTTTAGATGACCATGTCTTCTGTACAGCTATGATATCTCACTAATTTGTCATATGATCCTAACTGTAGCTACAGTTTGCATATTCGTACCACAAGATGGCGCACTTGTTCAATCATACATATGGTTTATATGGCTGACTCATAATAATCGTCCACATGAAAGCTTCAATGGCATTGGCTATCATAAATTCTGTTTTTTCCACCACCACAGCATACATGCACCAATATTTATTCATTCGCTTTTAAAGAACAGTCAGGATTCCAATAAATTCACCTTTGGACAGTTTTGTTGCACCTATCTTCCAGAATTACGGTAAATAATCCGAAAAACCAACGCCTGCGAGATGTGATTGGTTTGTATAGTGCATGAATTAAGGATGACGTCATGAGTATAGTTTTTCTTGTCAACGTTCGCGTCTGTCGGTCTACATTCCCCTGACCTCCTTCCGCATACAGGACTCAAACCAAGCCCAGAAATGGTAAATGCCTTTGTTTTGTTCTGTTTGAAAGATGTTTGTATGTGACGTGCAGTGGAGACTGTTAGCCTAGCAAAATGTCGTTTTAAATTCGTGTAGACAAAGCCAGTTAGCTAGCTAATCCAACGAAGACGTTTCACTGCTGTGTTATCAAACCATGGCTGACCAATGTTGGCTGGTTAACGTAGTTATCTAGCTAACTACTTGTTCTCTTCATCTTCGATAATCATATTAATTTGTTTTCTCTATGTTCATTCTTGCCGTACTTCTCAACCAGTCTGACTTCTCAGAAGACCAGATTATAGGTGAGTTTCAATCAGCTTTGTGACAGTAACGTTATTTGAAGGCTAGCTAGCTACTGTAAAATGTTAGCTAGCTGCTAGTCTATCCCCTTGCTTCATATGTCTTGTCATTCATTGTGGAATAGCACTACTTCTTTCCTGTCCCCCTTGTTGTGATAAGCAGTTTCCCTGCTGACAAGTTGATATAAACTGAAGCCTATGGTGAGTTTTTTTTTTGTTGATGGACCAGGTTTTGTGTTTTGGCTAACCATCTTGGTAAGACCTTGCATTAATATTGCCATTGTCGTCCGACATGCACACATCAACGAATGATTATATATACAATTACTAAAATATTGATTCACGATTGTCTGTTATTGGTGCAGTCAATCCCCTCCTTTGATCCCAACATAGCGGTTTGATTGAATGGTGTTTCATCAGGTTAATGTTTTGTGTTGAATGTTACTGACCATCAACTAATTTTGCACTGAGTTCTGTGCCTGGTATTTTTATGCATGTTTTAATAAAAGGCCAGACGTCAATATGTCAAGGCATTATGGCTAGTCATTATACGGCCTATGAGTATTCAAAAGCCTAGGTACTTTGAAAGATTGGCCGTTTTTAGTTATTCCATTTTAAAAGTCGTTTTTTTGTAAAAACCAATTTTGGTATTATTGATCTGTTCCGTTTATTGTGTGATGTCTTGTTCTGCTACCTAGCTACGTGGTTAACTTAGATAGTAGAGGAAACCGGAAGTTCTCAATTCTGGAACGTGAATTCATTAGTTCCCGATCCCAGAACTGTATAAAATGTCTAGATATATTATAGACGAAATCAAGCCACTATATTGTAATTTGTTCTCAGTCCTTCACTGGTGTTGACTCATAGACATTGTGTAAGCAAAAGGAAATGACTAAACAACTTATTAAAGAGTTGTACGGATCGAAGGCGTGGCCGAACTAAACCTCAGACATGCTGTTCTTTGAAATGAAGTTGGCAAAGCATAATGTATCCATTTACCAAGAATATATGTAGCAAAATAGTGTTACTGTAGGCTACTCATCGGTTGCCTGTGACTTTTTCCCTTGCTCAATCAATGGCATTTTTAGGAGTTTTTTTCCGCAGTTGATAGATTTCCTTAGCGCTCGTTTGGTTGATAGATTACTCGGCCAGCGCTTGCTGTCAATGCCATATATGGGTAAATTAGTGGCTGCTGTGTAGTTTCAGACGGGCCAGCTTGGAATGCACAGCATAGCAGCAATGCAATGCAAGCACCATAACAATAGCCCTGGGAAATGACCCTGATGTCAGAGAGCATTCCATGAGAGGCCACCGCATTTTCTGTAGATTACACACAATCAAAAAACAAAACAAAAAATCTTTGGATTCTCTTTCTTGACCATTTTTATGTGTGGGGGGGAAACCAAAACACACACACACTCAATCCAGTGCTGTGCTTTTTTAAACGCCTTTCTTCTCCCCGTCTTTCAGAGTTCAAGGAGGCCTTCCTGCTGTTTGACAGGACGGGCGATGGGAAGATCAGCTACAGCCAGTGTGGTGACGTCATGCGGGCCCTCGGCCAGAACCCCGTCAACGCTGAGGTCCTCAAGGTCCTGGGCAACCCCAAGTCAGAAGGTCAGCCCTACTTCTAGATGCTTACTGAACATTGACCATTAGTATCTATTGGCTGGATCAAACGTATAGAAGTATTACACACATCAGTTAACATTAGTACGATTTTATTCCGGCATGGCATCGTCTTGTGTTCAGATAGATTTAGGCCGATCCTCCAAAGTGTGTTTTTAGGCCTGTTGCTGTTTGTAGTCAACAACTTCACCAAACCAGTTTGACTAATTTGTATCCGGTCAGGTGTAAGATGTCAGCTAATATGCTTAAGCATCCAAGGATAAAACTGATGAAACAGAATGTTCTTCTGAGTATGAAATTCACATCCTATGGAGTGTGAACTTATCCTTGTGCGTAATCTGAAATTGTCAAGTACCACAGATGCACACAGGCTTTGTCCTAACCTGTCGAGGGTGATTTTGTCTTGTGGTTGCGCAGCCTGTCACTTATCAGCTTGGGAACAGGAGCATTGTGAGGGGTCCTGTTCTTACATGTGTTAATTACACACACAACAGATGCATATCATGCAGATCATGTCAACAGGATCTGATAATGTAAAGCTGATGATCAATTTTATAGAGAAACGCAAGCATTCCTCTAATTTGGAATTGATAAGGTTTTGTTCAGATTTTTTGCAAAAAAACTAATCAAAAGTGTATTGTTCTCGTACACACATTTGCAGGTGTTATAGCACTCGCACAAACTAAAAGTTAGGGTACACATAGTGGGAGTGAGTACAGTAGTTTATGTCTTTTTGGGGATTTAAAAAATGGTTATGAGAGCTCTCCTTTTTTTTGGTTAAATACATTCCAAGCCATTTTGAGTTATTTTACTCTCAGTATGTGGGCCTAGACTTTAACGGCATAGATGTAGATCTCATATAAGTTATTCTGTCTGTTTTATAGCAAAGTAATAGTATCTAGCAGAGTAAGACATGTTTATGTTTGTTTCCCTCCCCAGAGATGAACCACAAAATGCTGGACTTTGAGCAGTTCCTGCCCATGCTCCAGGCCATCGCTAAGAACAAGGACCAGGGCTCCTTTGAGGACTTTGTGGAGGGTCTGCGCGTCTTCGACAAGGAGGGCAACGGCACAGTGATGGGCGCTGAGCTGCGCCACGTCCTCACAACGCTCGGTAAGACCTCAGAACGATCTTATAAAGCTTTCATGAAGCATTTGTAAGTGCTGTCACTGGCTTGGTTTACATCTCCCCTTATGAAAAGATTATTCATTTTCATAGAACTGCACCATCTGTTTATTTCTCTCTTGTATTAGCAAATGATTTATATTACAGTATATAAGCCAACAGTTTCTTTCTTGTACTTGAGAGCTCTACTTCAGCTTAAAGAGAAACTGCCACTAAAAAATAACTATCATTTAGAAACATCCTATGTGGCATTGATATGAGTCAGAAACATTTATTCTGTCAAAATTGATTACAAATTGTAAATAGGATAATTTTGGTCATAAAGTCAGTCTTGTCCAAAACAGAGTTTGTGAGACTTGAGGTCATGACTGCGTCACAACTTAAATGCAGGTTGGGTTTGTTTCAATCCTGCCCACAGCTGGCAGCACACAAGTAATCATCAATTCGGAGTGCAGCTGCATGGGACCCGATCATAATGCCTGTGGTAAATTTGGGTTTACTTTGGATATCCCAACGGGGCTAGTTAAGAACCTTCTGTAAATTACACAATGTACATGGGACAATATGTTAAAATTCTAATAGCTCCAAATTTCAATGACTTAACCTCAAACCAACTATAAATTGTAGAAATTCATAGACAAATATTGAAAGCATTTAATGAGAACCTAAAAGGTGTGCAACATGAAAATAGTGTCATTTACATTGTGTAATTTATTGACGGTCCCTAGCTAGCCCCGGAGATGGGCTATCCAAAGTCAAACTAATTTTGCACACCAGCTGGCTGAAGCTAATTGGCGAAATAATTTGGCTAACTCTTCCCACCTGCAAACACGCACACGAGACACACACATCAAACCCGCACCCTGAAACCAACTCCTGTTTGAATTCAGTCATAGCATTTCTTAATGAACCAAATCTAAAACGAGGCCTAATCAGGAAGTACATTCGCCCTTTAACACTCCAGACAAACAGTACTGCAACCTGCCTTGTGATGATGTTGGAGACAAACTGTTGACGTTCAGCTCTTGAAGGTTTTACATGAAGAATTTAATTTGGATCAAAATAAACGTTTGATCCACACAGTCCTGATAGTTTTACCTCTTCTCCTTATCAACCACACCTGACTGTGGTACCAAAGGTCTTCATTGTCACTAATCAGTAATCACCTCTTAAACTAGTGACTCAATGCCCTACTGTATCCATATTGATGCACTTCATTTGCATCCTGGACATCGGTCTTGTCAGTAAGACGATTTGGCAACACAAGTGACAAGACATGGCTTTATTGAGTCTCCCTGGTTAACTGTGTCAGTATCCCTCTGGGAATGTCTGCTTGGTAGTGTAGGGATTGACATTAAGGGTTGCCCTATTGCAAGTGAACTAAGCAGTCGTTAAAGTTAAACCTGCTCCGAGGTTGCCCCATTGGGGGGGACCAAAAAATACTCCTGACTTGCCCGATGGGCAAGTGCCTTTCAGACTTTGTCAATCCCTCTAGTGGCTTTTACCATTGTAGAATGTAAGGTATAGGAAAGATGGGATTCCCTTGCTATACAGTGTATTTTTGTCTATCTGTTATGAGAATGTAAAAGAGCATTTCATTTGTGTTGCAGGTGAGAAAATGACAGAAGAGGAGGTGGAGACTCTGTTAGCGGGACACGAAGATGCCAACGGCTGCATCAACTACGAAGGTAAAGCAGCGTGGTGAACTGGATGGATATGATGGCTGTGAAGGAGAACACTGAACCTCGTCCTGTACTGTAGAATATATTACAATGCATGAGGAATTACCATTTCCCATAGTGTTTGAATAATGGAAGAATCATGTGAATGATAAGACGTGAATTGTAACAAAATACAATAACAATTGTCTTGAATGGGATGTACTCATGTTTTGTGTCAACACAAAGCCCTATGATTATTAATAAGGATTATGTGTATGTCTGGGTGTAGGTTGTATTATTGGATTTCAGGTGTGTGTGTCCCTTGTGTTGTCCCTTCACTGACCTCCCTGTTCCTCTCCCACAGTCTTTGTCCGCCACATCATGTCCGGCTGAGTGGAGGGTACGAGCAGACCCCCTAAAGCCCCCCCTCTCTCTCTCTGTCGGCACCTGCCCCAGCAGTGGGCTCTCACCTGCTCTGGGGGACTTGTGTGTAGGGGGGAGGGGGCCCTCTCGTCAGCCCATCACTGCACAGAATGCCCCTACTCCTAGCTACTGATACCACAGATGTATTTAAGCGAGTAATAACTAGCAGTTTACTCTTTAAAATGATACTTGGTTCGGGTTGTGTGTGGGGGACCGGGTGCTCCTACTCTAACACACTCACCTAAAAAATGGCGAGCTACTGAAGAGATGCGTAGTAAAAGCTATGATACTAATCGAGTAGGACATCTCTCTGTGCCATGATGGTGTTGTCAGAGGCTGCTGGGTTCCTGTGGTGGAGTCAGCGGTTTGAATTTATGGTTTGATCTCTGTTCTCTTTAACTTTCTCTCTTGCAGAGCCCTTCTCCTGCCCAGCTCCCTCGCCTCTCCCACCCTCCCCTGGCTGTAGCCTGCATGTAGCGTCTCTGCATGTGTCTAGGTGGCTCCTCTAAATTACCCCCATGGACACTGACTCTCCAACTGGAGGAGGGCAGGATACTGACAGGGGGTCTGTTAGTTAGACTAGAGGGGCGACTGTTCAACTCTGAATGTATAGGAGTAGGTGGGAGGGTGGTTTGGATAAAGTGGTGTACAATAAGTATTTCTCAAGGGTTGAACTATCGTCCTCTCTACTATAATGATTTCCTACTATTGCAGTGAGTTGCTCCATTTCCTTGGCTGGTGACTTCTGTTCCCTTCTCCCCATGGAAGCTGGTACTGTAGGCGTGCTAGACCCTTGATTTTTGTTTATTTTCCTCCCTTTCTGCCAGATCCTTCGCTCCTCCTCCTTCCTCCCCCTGTCCTTGTTTTCCTCTGTTAGAACAGCCCAAATAAGGAGGGGGGTTGCTAATCCTAACACATTCCAGGTCCTGAGGCCTGGCTGAGCAAATCCTTGGCTGTTCTGGCTCTCTAGGAGATGGAGCTTCTCTCCGAGTCCCTCCCTCTATAGTTCACCCTCTCTCTCTCTCATCCCTCGCTTCTGCCTCTAATGCTCAAACTTTAATGCCGATTCTCTCTTCTGTCTGATTGACACATGGAGTCTCTGTGGATCAGATTCAGGCTTCAGCATCCAGCTGAGAGCAGTGCTCATGTTGGGGAGGAAAACACCTCCTAGAGAACCATGTGGGAGCATGTCACTAAGTGTACTTACCTCTCTGTTGATGATTCATTTAATTTGTCTCATTGTGATTTTTAAATGTATAGGTGTCTGTAGGCTGTGACATCCTGAGTGTGTTTTGACAACGACATCTTGGTGGGATAATGCTTAGGAAGGCTTTTGGTCAAATCAATTTTTTGCATGTAAAGCCCCTCCGTAGATTCTTCTCAGATAAACAAGCCAATTCATATTGAACCATTCAGTAATGAGTCACAGTATAAAGTCAAAATAATGCCCTCAATCTTGATAGGGAGTCTGAGGCTATTTGGGAGAGATGGGAGGCTGTAGTACTGCTGGCAGATGCTGGAGGTGGAGTTTGCTCTAGGCTCTTCTCAGACACTGATGACCAAGCATGCTGCTGATGTTTTTTTTCTTCTCTCCCTCAGAACTCGTCCGGATGGTGATGAGTGGTTGAAGATTTCAAGAACACAACCAGTTCATTTTATTCCCAAATGTTTTTTTCTTCTATTATATACGTAATGTCTGTTTCGCCCCCATCCACCCTGTGTCATTCCCCAACCAACTCTTGTTTGCCATCGTTTTGTCATAAAAAAAAAAAGTTTTTCTTTCAGAAGTGCCTTTTCTGTGTCTGAGTTGAAATCGCCCCTTTTCATTTCACTTCAAAATATCATCCAGCCACAGAGGCGCATGCTATCATGTCTGGCTCGTGGACAGAATCGGCAATAACATTCCCTTGATTATACATTCCCATCGCCCACCCTGTCACTCAACCCGTGTCAGCCCCATTGCCCAATAGCTGTGTTTTTATACGGGGGAGATGCATGTTCATTGGCTGAGACTAGCTGTAATGTGGGTTTTACCAGGCTAACCAACCAATCATGAAATTATAGATTTATTGTCTCATGTATATGTTATAATGAATGGTATTTAATAAAAATCCCCAGTTTCTGAAAAGTAATGTTTTTTTTTCTTCTTAATCTTTTTTAATAAAACAATGGCGGAGATGTTTTGAAGCACCATTCTTCATTTAGTTTAACAGACGTCAGTGGGATTCTAATAAAGCAGCAGTGCAGTAATATACAAATGGATACATCACTTACTGGACCATTTTGGCCTAGTGTCCGGGATTGTCCGGATACCTAGCCATTCTGGCTACGCATCCGAGATGGCTACGAGAATGCATGCGTTATGAGTTGACACCATGTAATGAAATCTAGGAAGTGGTATTCAAATAGCAGAGTTTATCCATTTGATAATTTAACTGAACAAGCTTCTCTGTGCTAGCTTTCTCTCATAAATGTAAAGGTCATTTGAATATTTTTCAACAGAGCTGTATAGGGCCTTTATTCTTTGCTTAATGTAAGGCCTATTCAACTTTGTCATAGTATCTTTTTTGCAGTAGTCCTTTATGGTAAGATGGGTATGTTTCTTCTATTGCAGTGGCCCTGTATGGTTCTCTATGATGTAGTTCCAGTACTTACACCAGCCCTTGTATGGTAATGCAGGTATGAGTCTATTTGCTCTGAGGCAGTAGGCCCTGTATGGTAAGGTGAGATATTTTCCCACTGGGTCATTTGTGGTCTCTGTAGTCTGCAGTGTCTGTTTAGTAGTAGGTGATAGTTCAATGGAAAATTTGAAATGGGGGGGGGGTTCTGTAAGGAAGATGACACACACAGTGGTGCCTGCAGCAGACACTGACAGTAGGATTATTTCCATATAGGCTTAATGTCACAAGAAAAAAAGTGAAAGATCCTCATCTATTCCTTTATATAAAAGTTCTGTAAAGGAATAGATGGAGACCTAAGTCATACTACGAAAAATTATACTGTTGGTGAACTACAGCCTGACTGAAGAATATTGTCAGATGTCTAGATTGCAATGGAACAGACAAGATACAGTGAGTTCCAAAATTATTGACACTTGATAAAGATGAGCAAGAATGACTGCATCAAATTCAAATACTGAGCTAAATTGTATGCTAAAATTATATTATATTTATTTTATAGTAATACAATTGCTCAGAGAAGGGGTTTTGATTACGAAGTAATTGTTTTTTTTCTCAAAGGTAGGGGTCAAAATGATTGAAACCCCTTTTTTCAATATCTTTCAATACTTCACCTTGCGGGGATAACGGCACTGAGCCTTTTTCTAAAATGTTTTATGAGCTTGGAGAACACTGGGAGAGATATTAGACCATTGCTCCATACAGAAACCTTCCAGATCCTTGATATTTTTCATCTGCGGTTATGGACTGCCTTCCGATTCAAACCACAGATTTTCAATGGGATTCATGTCTGGAGACTGAGATGGCCATTGCAAAAGGGTATGGGGTTATTTTCTGCAAATGCATCTTTCTTTCGACACAAAACCCACCACTGGTGTGCGTGGCCAAATAGCATGTCATCCAACAAATGTAAACACCTGGAGTTTCCTAAACAACATTGTCACTTGGATTGGAACCAGTGCTATGGTCAGATGACATGAGAATAGAACTCTCTGGCCATGCACACCAGTACTGGGTTTAGCGTTGCAAGAAAGATGCATATGCAGAAAAGGGGCTATTTTGCATCCACTGGTCCAGGGGCCCTTGTTAAGATCAACGGCATCATGAACTTTTCTCAGTACCAGGACATTTTAGCCAAAAACCTGGTTGCCTCTGCCAGGAAGCTGAAACTTGGCAATATGTGGATCTTCCAGCAAGACAATAACACCAAGCACACTTCAAAATCCACTGAGACCAATTAATTAATTGACCACAAAATCAACAGTCCGGACTTGAACCCCATTGAAAACCTGTGGTTTGAATAAGCGCAGACGGAAGATATCAAGGATCTGGAAAGATTCTGTATAGAGGAATGGTCTAAGATCTCTCCCAATGTGTTCTCCAATCCCAAACATTTCAGAAAAAGGCTCAGCGCTGTTATCCTTGCAGGTGAGGTATTGAAAACAGTTTTTTAAAATCTCAATATAAAATCATTTCTAGGTAACAATGAGGTACCTTACTGTGATTGCTTTCAATTAAATGGTCAAAAATAAACAAAAATAGCTTATTAGCTAAGAGCAATTTCTCACGCAAGAATTTTGATAGTGTAACAGATGTGGTAGTACTTCGTAACTCTCTTGCGTTGTGTTTTTAAGAAAGGACTGGCCAGCCAGCGATTCCAGTTGATTGGTGTTTATTCTGACGATTGACACGTAGAAGCACATTAGATGTGCAGGACAACAGTATGTTGATGGCAGTATATTCGTGATTCGTCGCTTGCATGTCAATATAACACTGGGTATTTTGTAATTAAACATAATAATGACAAAAATAGTACAAAATACAATAAATGAAAGTGCCTGGCGATAGACAAAGGGAAGCACATTAGATGTGCAAGACAACAGTACGTTGATGGCTGTAGATTCGTGATTAATCTGTTCGCATGGAAATAACTGTCAATTAGCAGGGAGCTAATGTGACCATTAGAATTAGAACATGCTAGCTAACTCACTCTTACAGCAATAACATACAAAAGCACACCCCATGATGCCCCCAATATCTAACAGGTACCGTACACATATACACTGAGTATACAAAACATTAGGAACACCTTCTCTTTTCATGACATAGACTGACCAGGTGAAAGCTATGATCCCTTATTGATGTCACTTGTTAAATCCACTTCGATCAGTGTAGATGAAGGGGAGGAGACAGGTTAAAGAAGGATTTTTAAGCCTTGAGACATAAGTGCCTTTGAACGGGGCATGGTAGTAGGTGCCAGGCGCACCGGTTTGTGTCAAGAACTGCAACGCTGCTGGGTTTTGCACACTGCCAGTTTCCCATGCGTATCAAGAATGGTCCACCACCCAAAGGACATCCAGCCAACTTGACACAACTGTGGGAAGCATTGGAGTCAACATTGGCCAGCATCCCTGTGGAACGCTTTCGATGAATTTAGGCTGTTTTGAGGGCATGTTCCTAATGTTTGGTATACTCAGTGTATATACACATCAGGACATGTACATAGTGAACTCGTACACATTGTAAATATGAAAATAGAATGCACTATTTCAGAACGTGACCTACCGCTTGCATGTCAATATCAGACTGGGAAGAATTGACATTCGTGATCTATCTCCCCCTAGCTGCAAGTGTAACCAATGGCATAACACTTTATTGATATGTAAATTCAACCAACCAATAGGAATACATAAACATTGAATACATAGTTCTGCAGTGGCAAGTGGAAACATAACCAACCCTGTTACGCTAGGACTGTCTGGGAGTGGTCTGAGTGGGGAGGTAAAAACTGAAAGCTAGCTGTTATTGGTACAGAGGTTTGGAAATCTTTCTTATTGGTCTATTAAATCATTTACCACCTGGGGATGTCACCAGGCAGTGCAAAACTCCATCCAACCAAAACAGGCTGAAATTTCAGGCACTCTTTTCAAACCACTCTTAGACTAAAATACGCATTATCACCATTTCCACAGTTTTACAGTATTTTTCCAACCTCAATGTGGAAATATAAAACACAGGAAAATCACATTTTTGACTGCACAGGCCTTTAAACAAAATCTCTTTCTTTGAGCAATTGTATTAGTATAAAATAATATAATTAAAAACAAATATATTGCATACAATATAGCTCAGTTTTAATTATTTATTTTATAGTCATTTTTGCTCATCTTTATCCAGGGTGACAATAATTGCGAACCCCACTGTAGCAACAATGACCAAACTATACACATCACATCATCTTCATTTATTTGACTTTCCCAAAAAAATTGTAAGTAAAACCTTCGCATATTTTTTTTTTTTTTCATTCAATACAAACTGCAGAGCAACTGTTGACACTAATTTGGCAACAGTTTGACTGAGGAAAGGTTCATTTCTACTGTATAATCAATGCAATCATTGCTATCGTTAGCAATCATGAAAAACAAACAAAAACAAGAAACTGAACAGACACACATATTTCATATCACAAAATCCACACAATGTAATAACACAGAGACCAAAGCAGTCCATCCATGGTCACGACTGTAGTGAAGTTTCTAACACTGGCTATCTGGACACAAGTTTCATTATCTGAGTATATGTACGACACTGTTGGAAGAGTGAGTTTGTGTGATGTGCTGCTGTGTCATCATTTTGTACTTCTGTATGAGAACAATGAGCATCCCAATTCCTCAGCCTTTGTAACAACTCAAAACAATGGCACAGGGGGGTTAGATGGAACTGAACTGAAGGAACACTGGGGAAAACACACCCATGCTCACAGACGCACTGATTGACAGGTCATGGAGGCCTATCAGGATCATGCACATGACAATGAGGGAGGGGATTAGAGGTTACAAAGATAATAAAATACAGCAATAAAATGCAAACAGTAATATCAAAGAAACAAAAATGGAAAACCTGACAGTCAAAAAATATAAAAATAGATAGGATACATAGAGAAGATATTGTTACAGAATTCTCCTCTGTAAGCTGAACGGACTTTTGAGATCCCTTGACTTATACAGTTATTTTGTAACATTAAAGCCACTTCCATCACATACTAACAGCTTCATGCGAGTTGGACCTGTCATTGGAAAACACAAACAAACTATAAAAATCTGGATTTCCAAATGTCCACACCTCTGGTTTCACCCCATTAACTAATATGGAGAAAATTACAAATATAAAAAGAAAAATATTTTGGTTGATCAATGATCAGAGTTGTGATGGTGATGTCTGTTATCTTTGAAGTTGCCAATAAGGTTCTTCTGGAGCTATTTCCAGTCATTTCTTTAGAGTATAATCTCTACAATGGTATGATTCACCGATACTGACTAGCCATACTGGACATGCTGACAAACACCATCTTATTTGTGCAGTTACTGCTAGGCTTATGATTATGCTCTGCTCTGAGCATGCCCAACTGTTTCATAAGTGCTTCAGATCTTAATGTTAAAAAACAAAGGGCTCTATTCAATCTGTATCGCTGAAGCGTTAAAGAATTGCGCGATAGAAATGTAAGGTAATTTCCGATTGAGCTGACATATGCAGTGTTTACCGTGAATGCAGTCTCCGCTAACGCTGGAACATTGCCTTTACATTTACATCACGCTGTAACGCTAAACTTCTGCTATACGGATTGAATAGAGCCCAAAATACAGTTAAAATAAGGCCTTTTAGGACATTGTGACCTGGTCCTTTTGGGTCCTGGAGGGCACTCTGACTCTGGGGGTGTGGCCCTTCATAAATACTTTAAGTGGTTTCTAATGCTCAGTCATAGAGGGATTATTCTGTTCAAATTGGAGTGAAACATTTGTAACAGAAAATCCAGTTTACAGTACATAGTCTTAATAACAAATGGCAGTAGGGCAAGATGAGACGGTTTCCAAGTGGAATACATATCCTTACAAAAGAGTAATACCATTCGTTCATCCGTTTTCATTGCCCTAACACATACTTTTTTAGTTTAGGATACGTCTAACCAACAGACCAACCCCAACGCTCTGTAACAGCACATTCACACACATAGAGCAACAAGCATCCAATCAAATTAAATAAGGTGACTTAGAATTGAGAATGTCATATTTGGAAACTATGACATCGTAGTAAAAGTTCAAAACAAGAGAGCAGCCAAGTGCTTCAGGTCAATTGAGTTAGGGCTCTATTCAATCTGTAAAGCTGAAGCGTTACAGATTGCGCGATAGAAATATAAAGGTAATTTCTGATTGAGCCGACATATGCAGCATTTACTGTGAATGCAGTCTCCGCTAACGCGGGAACATTGCCTTTAAATTTCAATCACGCTGTAACGCTGAACTTCCGCGATACGGATTGAAAAGAGCCATTAATAATGCTTCATATCTCTAGATATGGCCGCCATGGAAACATATTTTCATAGTGCAAATCTTTTTTTCTCTTTTATAAATTCCTACCAGGGGTACCTTGGGTGAATAGGTAGGTAGGTAGGTACCTCTGGGAACATGGTAGGACATCTGACTTCAGAAACTATAGCAGGAAACGAAAGCACCACTGGTCAAAGGACTGCTCAGACAAGAGTCCTTTAGTTCTCTTTATATCCTCAGGTCAAGTGGCGTATTTACATGACCATACTCTCTTGATTTAACCTTGGGCTCTGATGTGAAAGGTGAAAGTAATTAAGCAACTTATGTCTGAAAGAATGACTGGGGGACTGTTAGTTTGAAAACCGACAAAGTTCTTAATTGGTATTTTCTTGTTTAGTTGAGGGAGTTCTTTATATTCACTCTGGTAAGGTAAGATGTTTTCGTTTTGCTTTTCTTTCTCATGTAAATCGTCCAAATGTTAAACATGATCAAAGTTTCTTATATGTCCTTCAGTTTGACTTCTTCATTTTTAATGACACAGGCAGGATTCATAGGTGCAAAGTGGTCAATGTCATTCAGTTTGCCAGGACCCTTTCTCTCTCTCTCTCTCTTCTTCTCTCTCTCCTCTCCCTCCCTCCCTCCCTCCCTTTCTTTCTTTTCACTGTGGAGGGGGAACTGGGGCTGAGGAGTGGAGTGTATCCCCAGGTAGAGGGGCGCTAGGCTCTGGGTTCAAGAAAAGAGAAGAGTATAAGATGTGTAAAACACACACATACTGCAAAAACATTTCACAGTAAAGTTGAAGTTAATTCCAGTGGCTCACATGATTACTTTTGTACAGTATTAGCTAAATACTGAATTCACAGTTGGATAACACAAAGTGTGACTCACCGTGGAGTGTTGGGGTGGCGCTGGAGTGGGCCGTGGGGGGCTGGCCTGGCGGGCGGGGAGGAGAGGTGTGAGGACCACTGGGGGGCGGCTGGGGCTCAGCGGGCTGGGCAGAGGAGGGGATGGAGGTGGTAGGGGGTGCTGGGCTGGGAGCTGGCTGTGGTGCAGGGGTACTGGGGACCGGCTGGGACTGGGTGGCTGAGGGGCCCTGGGGTGGGGGTGGGGGGCCCGTGGGGGCCGGGGCGGGGTGTGGGCCTCCAGTCTGGTTGTGCTGCTGGTGCTGGATCTGTTGGAAGTGCTGCTGACGCGCCCTCATCTCTGCATACTTCAGCTGCTCCATGTGGAATGACTGACGGTCTGCCAGCAGCTGCTGCCTCTGGTACTCCAACTACACACACACACACACACAGAAAGGGTAAGAACATGTATATGCACACTCCAACCAACAAAGCAAAACCAACAAGTCTACTTAAATTACATCCCCCATAATCCTTCACTTCTCCCTGACTCACAGCCTCCCTCTCTCGGTCCATGATGGTCTCCAGCTCTTCAAAGTGTCTCAGTTTGATCTCCAGCTTCTTCATCTGAGTCTCCACCAGCAGAGCCACCAAAGACTTGATCTTCCTCTCCTCCACTGCAGCCAGGTGCTATGGAGAGAAAGAGAGAGAAGGATGGAGCGAGAGGGGAGATAGAAATGGAGACGGAGAGGAAGAGAAAATGTATAGGGGAGATAGAGAAAGAGAGAAGTATGGATGTGTCATCTTTTTATGTGAAATGGCACAGACATATTGAACAATCCCTGGTTGATAATCAGTATGAGAAACTGAGATAATAGAAGTTGTCCCTAAACACTGATACAGGGTCAGATATGTTTTAACCCCTGGGGGTTGGCTAGGATAGCTGATCTAGAATCAGGTGCATCCTAATGTAATCTTATTCATTATGATCCCAAAGGCAAAACTGATCCTACAGATATAGGATCTTAATTTGAGCCAGTTTGCTACAGCAGGAAAATAATCCTGCAGCAACAGGAAATGCGATTATAATTAATTGACCTTTTTTGTAGGGGTTGGTGTATTTTTCTTTAAGGCAAATCAAGTCTTACATTTTCAAGTGGAAATTACAAACTTTAGATGCTTTTTTAAACCTCAAACACAGTGCTGTGCAATAAAATCCTCAGCAACACAAGAGTGATCAAATTAAGATCCTACACCTGTAGATCAGCACTCCTACTCTGAGAAGCTTGATACATACAGCCCTTCATCCTAGATCTGTGGTTAGGGGGATCATGCTAAACAAGGGTCAGAGGTCAGACCTTGGCTTTGACGGCAGCAGCAGCCAGGGCGGAGGCAGCAGCAGTAGCCAGGTTCCCCTCTCCCATATCCCGTTCCACCTTAGCCTTCCTCTCTCCCTCGCTCTCGCCTTCTCTCTGGCCCTCCTCCAAGCCCTCCTTCCCCTTCTCTCCATCACCTAATGCAGAGAGGGAAACATAGAAGTCACATAATTAAGTGTCTGTAAAAGACAAGAGAGACAGACTTGACTATTTTACAAAGTTCACAGAGATGCATTCAAATTCAGTCATAGACATAAACATTACCCATCTCCGAGTCGGTCTTCTCAGCCTCTTGTTCTCCCTCTCCTTCTCCATCTCTCCCTCTCTCCTCCTCCTTCTTCCCATTTTCTCCTTGCTTCTCCCCCTCTTCCATGGCTCCCTCTTTGTTCTCCTGTTATCACCATGTGGACAACATGGTCAGCTTCTTACCAATACTTGAGTATAAATCATCACAACCTAGACCATTCAGACCTAGACCGTAACTGGTTTGCCAGAAGACTCGACCACACAAACACATGTACAGTAGAAGTCCAAACAGACACCATACCTTGGTCTCCCTCTTCTCCTCACTGGATTGGCTGTCACTTTTACTCTCCTCACTGCTCTCTTCTGGAGGCAGAGAAAAGACAGGTGAATTGTCAGCAAGCCTAGTGTTTTATGTGTACCCCACCGGCAACTAATTTCTCTTTATTGACATACAGTACATGGAAATATGACCAAAGACAACTATAGTTTTAGATAATAGTAGATGGAAGCAGTACCAGGTTTTTCTCCCTCCTCCAGGCTGGTGCCTGCAATGCCGCTGCCCTCCAGGCCGTAGAGGGGGTCTTGTCTGCCACTGGCCCGCGCCGCCTCTTCCACCCTCCTCACATGGGCCTCTACCAGTGCTGCTGGGACCTCCTCCTTCATACGGGAAAACTCCTCTGAGAGGGAGAGCGAGAGGGGGGAGGGAGGAAGGAAAAGAGAGTTAATGAATGGAGGAGAAAAAAATACACACGCCACCTCTAAAAAGTATCTCGAGAAAATAATATCCAAACTTCAAGACACTTCCTGGTAAATGAAGGTTAACTATAAAGCTCTCTGACACAAATCAGACCAGCCTGTACTCTGTGTGATCTGACCGACGGTTAGTTAGTGAGTTGACCTCTCACCCAGGGCAGACTTGGCGGCTGCGGAGGCCACGCGAGGGTCCACCACGGAGGCCAGGAAGGCCACGGTGCTCATGACAGGGTTGCCTGCCTGGCTGAAGGGGACGGGCTGGTAGGCCAGGGGGCCCAGGGACGAGGACGTGTCCTCCAGGTAGGGGTCCTCAATGGGCAGACGCAGGAAGTGCAGGATACACTCGTCCTGGGTACGTGAGCCCACGTGCTCCGACACCTTGTTCCAGTCATCCTTGTACATCTCTAGACCCTGAGAGGAAAGGGGAGGGATGATTTGATGATTGATATTAATAAGGGTGTTATATTAAGCCCTAGGTTACATTTCCAGATAAGTGCTTTGTGTGTTTTTGTTGTCGATCCTCTCAACACTGTTTCAAGTTAAAGTTTCAAGTTTATTTGGATTTAAAGGGCTTTCTGTTGAATGGTAATAAAGTGGATGAGACAGAGTTGTGCTGTTAGTTACCTCTAGCAGCAGTAGTGTCTCCTGTTCGGTCCAGTCTCGCATGGCGCTGGCAGCACTCTTACTCTGCAGACAGAAGAAGTAGCATCCCCGTAACACACCTCACTACTCTTAATAGTTAGCTATACAGTGCACTATGATCCTCATCAGTCATGCAGTGTTGTGATCCATACCTTAGGAGGCCCAGTCTTCTTGCTGTACATGTCTGTCCTAAGGCCAAAGTTCTGCAGGTCGGCTGGCTGCTTCTCCTTCACCTTGTCTGGGAAGGACAGAATCTGCTGGGCGGCCGGAGTCTGGAGGGGACAGAGAGAGAACATAAGTGGAGTGAAGCTGCAGTCAAAAAGAGTGACATCTAGAACCAAAATATAGATACAATCTGTGTGTACCTGGGAGGCCTTGGGCTGAAGGGGCACCAGGCTGGAGGGGGTGTCAGCCAGGACGTGGAAGTGGGAGGTGGGCGGGGGGCCCATGGGGGTGGGCCGGCTCTCTGAGTCCACCTGGTAGTTGATCAGACCCCACTGCTCAAGGAACGCATGCACCCTGAGGAGAGGAGGAGGAGAAAGGGATAAATGGAGGAGGTAAATATTACTGCATGAAGTAGATGAAAATGCGACTGTTGTAAATGTCCTGTGTGCATTGAGTCCTCCTGACCTCATGATGGCGCACACATCTCCGGCCAGGTTCCTACGACAGGCGGTGGAGGTGAGGTACTCCTGCGGGTTCAGTCTGTAAGTGTCAATCATGAAGTTCCTGTAGGCCAGGTAACTGTGAAGAGAAAGAGAGAGATTCTTGTCAGTGAATATGCAGTTAGGTTACTCCAAACTCCAAAGCTGTTGGTCTCTGTATAACACAGAGGAGTGTACATGTGTATTAAGCTAGGTATGTGTAATGATCTAATGGTAGCATGTGTTTACTCACATCTCAGGGGTTTTGGATTTGTTCTTGCCGTTGAAAAACTCTGGGAGGGCTCTACGCTCGATAGCATGGACACTGGAAAACATAGAAAGAGGTTAACATACATCATTGATCGGGAGAGACGTGTAGATCTGTAGCCTACCTGTTGTAGTCGAACCAGGCAGCATAGCTGGGGATGATGATGTGGTGGGTCTGCTCGGTCACGTTGTCCTCATGGAGGTCCGACCCTTTCACCGGCTCTCCCTTCACACTCGGAGAGCCCTCCTCCTCCTCCTTTCCTGCAGTTTCCATGGATTCATCCTCTTGCTCATCTGTTCAAGAGATAAAAGAGGAGAGAATGAAAATACAGATCAGGGGACAGATAAAGGATGGAGTAAGCTAAAATATAGTGAGTAGTGACCTCATCCTGCAGACAGTGTATACACTGAGAAGTTATTGATTAAGTTGTTCAGGGAACTCACCCAGGTCTGTCATGGTACCTCCCTTCACTGGTGTCGACTCAGAGTCTTTCTTAGTGTTGGCTACAGAGAGAGATGGAAAGAGAAAGAGAGAGAGAGAAAGAGGGGTGTGGGGGGAGAGAGTTGCATTTCCTGTGACACAACACTTTAGTTCAACCCCTGACTTTCAGTCACAATGATGATGAATACTAATGTTTCAACCAATGTAAATATCAGGAGGATAAGCCAATGGGCTGAGTCTAAATCTTAGATAATAAAGTGTATATATACAGTACATATATGTGTGTGAATGTGTGTACCTGTCTTAGGTAGGGTGACCTCCTCCACTGCAGGTACAGGTAATGGTTCATCCAGATCTTTAGTCAGATCCTCCGACTCCTCCTCTCTTTGGCCTCGCTTAGACTTAGTGTACGGGGTGGTGGGCCTACACACGCACACATACACAAACACGTACGCACACACGCAAACGCACAGGCACACACACACACACACAAAGTTAGTCATACTGTGTATAGCATCTTAAGGCTTATATTTCTTAATCATGGCGTGTGTCAGCAATCTACAGATTTCCCAATGACACCTTTTACAAAGGGCATTATACAGTAGTAAACAAAGGGTAACACACCCTTTCTTTGTGTTCTTCTTCTTGGTCTCCTGGGGTGGTGGGGTGGGCGAGGGGGAGGGCGAGCGCTTCCTCTTCTTGGCGCTGCCGGGCTTCTTGTCACGGCGCTCGTCCCCTGGGGTGGTGACCTCATCAGTCAGGGTCTTGGCTGAGATCCTCTTCCTCTTGGGGGCCCCCTCCCCCACCTCATAGTCCTCCTCATTCATCCACTCATTAAACTGGTCCAGGTCCAGGATCCACTTGGCATGGACCTGAAGACACAGTTTATATGATGTTAATTTAATGTAGTAAAATGTTATATGTTGGCTATATGAAACACAAAGAGAGGAGAGAGGGAGAAAGAGCGAGAGAAAGATAGAGACTTAAAGAAAGTGAGGGGAGGAGAGCGAGAGAGGACGTGTCCGAAATCTGTCTTGCCTACTACTTACTAAAACGACATTCTGTGTACTCAATGTACTACATACTATTTAGAACGTACTGTTTAGTAAAAATGTATGCAGTAAGCAACAAATATCAACATACTAGGCTCACCCATACTGACAATGTGTCATCTAATGCACAATTGCGTTGTTTCCCGCCATTTGTTCATTATGGTACAGCGCCGTCCCCTTATCTGATTATCAGCTCACACAGAAAGACACAGAAAGAGAACAAGGAAGGATGTGTGTGCTGACCTTCCTGGGTTTCTCTGGGCTAGGCGGTTCTTCCACAGCAGCCTCCACCTCACTGGCTGAGATCCAGGTGTCATAGCTGAGCAGCAGGGGACAGAGGTCAGAGGTTAGACTAGACTAATGTGTCTAGTGCACTACATGTCAAAACATGGTGCTATAACACAGGCTGAGAAAACAGTGTGGAACTCAATGTTAAATGAGATGTGGGTATGGGTTAGAGACCATGTTAGTGTACTTTCAATGTGTCTGCACCCCAAATGGTGCCATTTGAGACACATGGTGCCATTCGGCCAGCAGCATACCACCCTGCATCCCACTGATGGCTTGCCTCTGAAGCTAAGCAGGGTCAGTCCTGGATGGGAGACCAGATGCTGCTGGAAGTGGTGTTGGAGGGCCAGTAGGAGGCACACTTCTCTCTACTCTTAAGATCGAATCCCAATGCCCCAGGAAAGTGAAAGGGACATGGCCCTGCGTAGAGTGACGTCTTTCGGATGGGATAATGGGTGTCCTGACTCTTTGTGGTCATTAAAGGTCCCATGGCACTTATCGCAAGAGTAGGGGTGTCCTGGCAAACATTTGTGGTGGACGAGGTGTATTTCCCCCTTATTATGTAAAGCGCTTTCAGTACCAATGTAGAAAGGCGCTATATAAATCCAATCAATCATTATTATTATTCTGAGTGTCCATGGTGTTAGAGCACCCTGTTCTGCACAAGGCTTTATCCAAAGGTTGTGTTGACTGTGTCAGGCTGAGGCCCCAGTATGGACAGTACCTACCTGTCAGGATAGTATCCCCAGTGGAGCAGCACCTGCTTGTCTCTCTTCATTACCGGACGCACCCACTCCTCTGAACCAACCGGGAGGGGAGGGGGGGGGGGGGGGAGAGAGAGAGAGAGAGAGAGATTTTTTTTGTCTATGATCAATCCATTAGTCTAGTTAGCTACTAGACCAATTCACTTTACAGGTATAAATTCAGAACAGACATTCTGGCCACTAGATAATGTTTGATCCATAATGTTAGACTGACTAACCCTCCTCCAGACTGGCAGGGATGGGAACCACCACATGGGAGCTGGATGTCTTGTCTTCAGTCACTGAGCCCTGCAGGAGACAGCAAACACTCTGCTTAACTGTGTTGTATTGTATTGTATTATATTGTGCTGTACTGTATTGAATTGTATTGTGCTGTACTGTATTGAATTGTATTGTGCTGTACTGTATTGTGCTGTATTGTTTTGTATGAAGCTGTACTGTATTGTGTACTCCTCATATAGTTTCATCATTAGGTCAGTGAAGACAAGCCTACCTGGTGCCTTTTGATGATGTCCTTCAGTTTCCCCAGCAGCTTGGCCTCAATGTCAGAGCTCAGGTAGATCACTGGTCGACTCAGACAGTTGTTCTGATGGACAGATGGAGAGAAAGAGAGGGTAAATAAGAAAGAGAGCGACACAGACAAAGACAATAGTTCTCCAAAGAAGACAAGGGCAGACGGACCTGTACCAGAGATTTCTCGATAGTCATGAACATCTCCACATTGCGGTCCATCCGAGAAGGATTCTGAAAGTCAAACCTGCGCCTGCCATGAAGACAGACAGGAGTCAAAAATCTCACAGAACCTCATCAAATATTTCAATAAAAATGCATCATTGTGAAAATGAAAACGTCTCAAGGATCAATCTATTTTGTTTAATCTTAAATCAGAACTTCTCAACCATACAACTTTGTGGGTTAAATTCATTTGATGGGAGTGTAAGTGTAGTGAGCCAAACAAAAATCTGCAGGTTAGAATGAAACTCTTACCAGCCCTGATCGCTCTTAAACTTGTAGGCTGCAGCCAGAATGTGGCAGAGAGCCCCGCCAGACTTAAAGTCCAGGAAACTCTTCATCTGAACAGAAAGACATAGGGTTAGATACACTATTAGAATAGTGTAATAGGGGAAGCACAATAGCAAATTGTGTGCGTGCGCGCGTTTTCTCACCAGCAGCCTGGTGAGAGGTGGGTTGCTGACATGTCGTCCGAACACCTCCTCCTGAAACTGCAGCAGCTGGACCACCAGGCTAGATAGAGACTTGTTGGTGGGGGGCTCTGCCTGGATGTACTGAGGGACGAGAGAGAGGATTTACATGAAAATATCAGGATAAATATACATTGTAACTAAGTTGACATGCACATCATCATTATTCTGGTATTATTATTTGGATATTGTCCCAAATATGCAAGTATAGTGTGAGTGAGTGAGTGGATCTTAGATAGATCTTTGATAGTTTGAATAGTACAATTAACAAAAATAGAGGTAATTTGATGGTGAAAGAAACTACAGGTTCCTCTATGTGAATCTTTGTATTCTTTCTCTGGCCCAGGTTGAGAATGGTGGGGTTGAGCGCTTGCTCTGAGACAATAGACATGGCCTTTTTGGCAACACTATAAAATCCTGCACACCATCTGGGAGGGGGTAAAAGGGGCCGGTACATGAAACTCAAGGCCCATATATTGCCCTAAAAGACCATGGAGTGCAATGGGGTGAAAGAGAAAACCGAAAGCGCCAGTAAAAGACAGCCCAACATCTGGATTTGCGCTGGCCGGAGTAGTCATCTGCAATCCATGAAATTACCGTTAGCTAGCTAGCTAGCTTAGGTTCCCCCCCCCCCCCCTTCCGAACAACAACCCGCAACACAGGCCATTCATTCCCTCTACTAAATGGGTGTAGAAACATGCACTTGAAACATATCAAATGTCAATAATTTGCAACGCGGCACTTGCCAAGACGTTTCTCAGCATCTTTTTGTTTTCGTCTCGTGAATGTGTGTGTTAAACAGCTGGACTATCCTGCAACCCATCTCATCACACCCTCCCTCGCCTGCCCACTCCTTCAACTGTTAAGATTGCCCTCTTTCATTTATGATCATATGAATGAGTTTATTCATTACGTTAACAAAAAACAGCAGTACCTTTTTATAATTCTTGCCCAACCAAACGCGGACATTGTCGAACTGCGAGACGGTATCAGACGCTTCGAAATATTTTACATTCGGGCCGCCGTCTTTCTTCCGCACCGCCATCTTTGTCTGCAGAATGTCGACTTCGACCGCCGCCTCGTGGTGGAAATATGACTTTGCAGTCGATGGGCCCATTAATACCGCTGTAGTTGCAGTAAATGTACAGCAAGTGGTGTCGTTGTATAAAGAAAGTACAGTGTAAAGGGCTTTTAGACAGCAAAGCAGTTTGGGAACCACTGGACTAGAGGGACAGTGGTTGAACTCAGTCCTGCTTTATACTTACTCCTGAAAGTTGTAATACTAGAATGCACAAGGTGCAATTTCGAAATTGGTTAGTCATCATCAGTTCCTCTTGTCATGTTAGTCATTGTATACCTTAGAGAGCTATTTATAACTTGTCAGAAATGTCCAGATCAACTAGCTCAATACAGCTAAAGTTTTTTTATTTAGGTTTTTTAGCCCATAGAAAATTGCATGTACTTTCAGAATTGTTTGGTGAGCTACTCATAGGTGGGCTGCGAGCTACTGGTAGCTCGTGATCGACCTGTTGGAGACCCCTGGACTAGAGGGACAAGCAGGCCAAGATGACAAAGAACATTTTGCAGTTTTAAAGCTAATTTCCTTGCAATTTTATACATTTTGCCATGTTTAATGTGTATTCATGTGAATTTTCACGTGTTTTACCGCAAACTGTCATAAACAAATCTCACAAGTATCAGACACAAATCTCAGAAGTATCAGACACCGCAAGTGTGAGTGTGTGTGTGTGTATGTGTGTGGCGTTAGTATGCATGTGTATGCTTGTTATGTGTGTGTGGGCGTATGTAGTGTGTGTGTGTGTGTGTGTGTATGTGTGTGTATGTGTGTGTTGGTGTGTCAGTGTAAGTATGTGTGAGTGTGTGGGTAGAGTCCAGTGTGTGTGCATAGAGTTAGTTCAAAAAAGGGTAAATGCAGGTAGTCTGGGTAGCCAGTTCCTGTTGGTTCCAGACTTGGTGCACTGGTACCGCTTGCCGTGCTGTAGCAAAGAGAATAGTCTATGTCTTGGGTGGCTGGAGTCTTTGACAATTTTTGGGCCTTCGTCTGGTATAAAGGTCCAGGATGTCAAGGAGCTCGGCCCCAGTGATGTACTGGGCCATACTCACCACCCTCTGTAGCACCTTGCGGTCGGGTGCCTTGCAGTTGCCGTACCAAGCGGTGATGCAGCCAGTCAAGATGCTTTTAATGGTGCAGCTGTATAACTTTTTGAGGATCTGAGGGCCCATGCCAAATCTTTTCCGCCTCCGGAGCGGTGCTGTCGTGCCCTCTTCACAACTGTGTGGCTGTGTGTGGACCATGTTAATTCCTTAGTGATGTGCACACCGAGGAACTTAAAGCACTTGTCCCGCTCCACTACAGCCCCATCGATGTGGATGAGTGCGTGCTCGCCCCTCCATTTCCTGTAGTCCACGATCAGCTCCTTTGTCTTGCTGACCTTGAGGGAGAGGTTATTGTCCTGGCACCACACTGCCAGGTCTCTGACCTCCTCCCTATAGGCTGCTTCATCATCGGTGATCAGTCCTACCATCGTCGTGTCATCAGCAAACTTGATGATGGTGTTGGAGTCGTGCATGGCCACACAGGCGTGGGTGAACAGGGAGTACAGGAGGTGACTAAGCACACACCCCTGAGGGACCCCCCGTGTTGATGGTCAATGTGGTGGATGTGTTGTTAGCTACCTGCTATCAGGAAGTCCAGGATCCAGTTGTAGAGGGAGGTGTTCAGTCCCAGGGTCCTGAGCTTGGGGATGAGATTGGAGGGGACTATATTGTTGAATGTTGAGCTGTAGTCAATGAACATCATTCTTACATCTGTATTCCTTTTGTCCAGGTGGGTGAGGGCAGTGTGGAGTGCAATAGAGATTGCGTCATCTGTGGATCTGTTGGAGCGGGATGCGAATTGGAGTGGGTCCAGGGTGTCTGGGATGATGGTGTTGATGTGAGCAATGACCTGCCTTTCCAATCCTTTCATGGCTATAGATGTGAGTGCTACGGGGCGATAGTCATTTAGGCAGGTTACCTTGGTGTTTTTGGGCATTCAGGGATAGGTTGAAATTGTCAGTGAAGACACTTGCTAGCTGGCCAGCGCATGCTCTGAGTATGTGTCCTGGTAATCCGTCTGGCCCTGCGGCCTTGCGAATGTTAAACCTGTTTAAAGGTCTTAATCACATCGGCTACAGCGAGCAAGATCACACAGTCATCCGGAACAGCTGGTCTCTCATGCATGGTTCAGTATTGCTTGCCTCGAAGCAAGCATAGAAGGCATTTAGCTCGTCTGATAGGCTCACGTCACTGGGCAGCTCACTGCTGGATTTCCCTTTGTAATCCGTGATAGTTTGCAAGCCCTGCCACATTCATCGAGTGTCAGAGCCGACGTAGTAGGATTATTTCTTAATCCTGTATCGACGCTTTGCCTGTTTGATGGCTCGTCGTAGCGGGATTTCTTATAAGCATCTGGATTAGTGTCCCGCTCCTTAAAAGCGGCAGCTCTAGCCTTTAGCTCAGTGCGGATGTTGCCTGTAATCCATGGCTTCTGGTTGGGGTATGTACGGTCACTGTGGGGACGATGTCCTTAATGCACTTATTAATGAAGCCGGTGACTGATGTGGTAAACTCCTCAATGTTATCGGATGAATCCCAGAACATATTCCAATCTGTGCTAGCGAAACAGTCCTGTACCTTAGCATCCGCTACATCGGACCACCTCCATATTAATCACGTCACTGGTACTTCCTGTTTGAGTTTTTGCTTGTAAGCAGGAAGCTGTAGGATAGAGTTATGGTCTGATTTGCTTAAGGGAGGGCGAGGGAGGGCCTTGTATGCGTTTCTGTGTGTGGAGTAAAAGTGATGTAGAGTTTTGTCACCTGAAGTTGTACAGGTGTTCAGTCCCAGGGTCCTGAGCTTGGTGATGACTGTTAAATAGCTGTCACGATCGTTGAGAGACAGGTCAGAACAAGTTGCAGCGTGGTATACGAACATGTTTATTAAACTCAATAAACATAAACAAAACAAGAAACAACGTAACGTGAAGTCCTCAGGCTATACACATACAAGCCTAAAACACGGAACAAGATCCCACAACTAAGGTAGGCAAACAGGCTACTTAAGTATGATCCCCAATCAGAGACAACGAGCGACAGCTGCCTCTGATTGGGAATCACACCCGGCCAAACCTAGAAATACACATCTAGATCGTAAACATAGAAATTCTAACATAGATCCTCACGCCCTGACCAAACCAACTAAAGACAACCGGCCTCTCAAGGCCAGGGCGTGACAATAGCCATCACTAGCACATTAGAGGCTGCTGCTGCTGCCTATTGAAATCACTGGCCACTTTAAGAAATGGAACACTAGTCACTTTAATAATGTTTACATATCTTGCACTACTCATCTCATATGTATATCCTGCAATCTATTCGATAATATTCTACTGTATCTTAATCCATGCCGCTCTGTCATTGCTTGTCCATGTATGTATATATTTTTAAATCCCATTCCTTACTAGTTTTGTTTGTATTAGGTATATGTTGTGAAATTGTTAGATACTACTTGTTAGATATTACTGCACTGTCGGAGCTAGAAGCACAAGCATTTCGCTACAACCGCTATAACATCTGCTAAACACGTGTATGTGACAAATAAAATGTGATTTTATTTTAATTTATTTGATGTGACATGCTGGTAAAAATGAGGTCAAATGGATTTCAGTTTCCCTCCATTAAAATCACCGGCCACGAGAAAAGACGTCTCTGGATGTGCATTTCTTGTTTGCTTATAGCCCTATACTGCTCTTTGAGTGAGTTCTTAGTCCCAGCATTGGTTTGTGGTGGTAAATAGACAGCTGCTATTTTTTGGGATTAAAACTTGTTGGTAAATAGTGTGGTCTGCAGCTTATCACAAGGCGAGCAAAACCTCTAGACTTCCTTAACATTAGAGATTGCACACCAGCTGATGTTAACAAAGAGACACAACCCTCCTCCCTTTGTCTTACCCGAGTCTGCCGTCCGGTCTTGATGATACATAGAAAAACCAGCAAGACGTATATTATCCATGTCCTCTTTCAGCCGCGACTCTGAGAAACACAGAATATTGCTGTTTTTCAGGTCCCGTTGATAGGATACATAAATAAACAGAAAATATATAAAATATGAATAAAATATACCAGAAACATCAATTTCACAGTGTGCCAAAGATAGACATGCAGCTGTCTGGTGAACTGGGCCTTGCCAAAGACTATCATCTCTCTGACCTTTTTGCTCCTATTCTCCGTCTCTGCCAGTCAAAGACATACCCCTCATTAGCACTGGGATAGGTGTAAGTGTGTGTGCGTGCATGCATGTTCAGAGTGTGGGTGCTTGTGTGCGTGCGTGTGTATGGTGTGTGGGTGTGTGTGTGTAATCATTACTGTTGTGTGTATGGTTCATACAATGTTTATATGAGGCAGTGTGAGTAATTGAAAGTTTACATTTCTGTCTGTCTGTCTTGAGTGTATAGGTCTGTGCATGTGACCAGACAGAATGTATATATTTCTGTTTGTGTTGCTGGTTTGTGTGTGGGCCTTCCCTAGACTGTGTGTGTGTGTGTGTGTGTGTGTGTGTGTGTGTGTGTGTGTGTGTGTGTGTGTGTGTGTGTGTGTGTGTGTGTGTGTGTGTGTGTGTGTGTGTGGTGCTGGAGAAGAGAGAGTGAAGCCTATTGATTATTTTAATCCTCCTATTTGTGAGTCTGTGATCCTCTCGGCTCAAGCTTCCACGGGGGGATTGCTAATGGGCCCGAACGCTTCCCTCCTCAGCCCTTTCTCCCTGTCCAATTAACTTTACACTGGAATCTGCCAGGAGAGAGTGTGAGGAGGAGGAAGAGTAGGAGGAGGGGAGATTTCCAAGGTACACCCAACCCCCTCCTTTCCACCCTCACTATCCATCCCTCCAGTCTCCCATAGCCACCAAATTCAGCTAAAACATTCACATCCAGAATACTATTACCTCTCACCTTTAATTAAATATCTGTCTGCTTGTTTTCACGCTGACAAGATGAGACCTCCATTCAGTCAATACTTCAATACCGCAGACTGGTTCACTGAGGGTGGGAGCAGGACACTGG